AGAAAGAGCCTCCATTACGCTGCAGCGCTGTAAGAAGATTAGTGAGTTTATGGGAAAGCTGCACAGTGTTCATATCTGCATGAAGAGCAGCAGAGAGACATCTGTTCACAGCGTCTCCTCACAGAGATGTAAATGAAAGTAAAACACACTCGTAACAAACCAAGAATACCACGTCATATTAATTAGAGTGTTATGCAACAGAAAGTGTAGCTTCACATGTTCACTTTGATCACAGTAATCCTCCGCCTCCGTGATGCTGGAGATCCTGCAGCTGTTAATGAGGATGAAGAGGATGCATGGGATATTTAATCTATACATATCATAGATTATTGTATTTGAACAGCTCATGTGGAGATAAATGCTGTCAGTCTTTTCTCGGAAGATAGCAGAACATTTCCAGTTTGCAAAGGATCGCATTTCAACAGCAAAATGTCCAGAAAATCCTACTTTTTGCAGCGAGACTCACACCAGCAACGCAGCGTGAAAGAACGAGTATTCCTCCGTCTTTCATGGATAAAAGATGTTTGATCTTATCTGTCATTTCAACAAAAATCATACATTTTGTAGAGCAGACAAGGATCATTTGAGCGAAAATGCCACCATGACAATATCAGTCTTCTTACAGCTGAAAATAGTCATAATTGTTTTAATTTGCCATGCTTGCATTTCAACAGAAAACAATCCTATTTTCTGCACGGCAAACTCACACCACATAAAACAGAAGCTTGTTTGACATAAATGCCACTGTTTAAACATCAGTCTTTTCCACTAAAGAAAGCGGAAGATATTCAGTTTACCGCGCTTTCATTTCAAAAGAAAATATCCCGAAAATCCAGCGTTTGACAGCGCAAACTCACACCAGTACTGCCACGTTTAAGGAAGAGTATTTCTCAGTCTTTCTTGGATAAATGATCTTAAATCCCATCTGCAATTTTAAAAAACATCCTACGTTTTGCAGCCCAAACTCACAAGTTTAGAGAAGAGGAGCTCATTGGAGTGTGAATGCCTTTAGAAATATCCCGAAAATCCTAAAGTTCGCAGCGCAAACTCACAGCGCCACGTTTAAGGACGAGTGTTCCTCCGTGCTTTCATGGATGAATGGTCTTTAATCACAACTTTCTTTAGAACAAATCCACCGTCTTGCAGGGCAAACAAGTAAAAACAAGAGTAGATGTACACATGTAAACATCAGTCTTTCCTTTGAAGATAGCTGATAATATCCAGTTTGCTGCGCTTGCATTTCGCAAGAATAATATCCAGAAATCCATACGTTTAGCAGGGCAAACTCACACCAGCAATGACAGCTTGTTGCTGCGTTCTTGGATGAAATGAAACATAATTTTAGCTCATCAGCAATTTGAAAAGCTAGTCCTTCTGTCTGTCAGAAAGCAAAGAAACCATTTCCAAAGTCCTCGCGCCGCGCTTGCATTTCACAAGAATAATATCCAGAAATCCAGACGTTTAGCAGGGCAAACTCACACCAGCAACCCCACGTCAATGACAGCTTGTTGCTCTGTTCCTGGATGAAATGAAACATGTTTTATCTCATCTGCCATTTGAAAAGCTACTCCTCGTTCCTTCTGTCGGTCAGAAAGCAAACTGCATTTCCAAAGTTCTCATGTGCACGAGAGACAGTAATAACTATCCAAATGTCCGATCAAATCAAACACGATCCACGCGTGAAAAACTAAAAATATCCAGTTTGCCACGCTTGCATTTCCCTAGAATAATATCCAGGAATCCAGACGTTTAGCACGGCAAACTCTCAACAGCAACCCCACGTCCGCTCTTGGATGAAATGAAACATGTTTTATCTCATCGTCAATTTGAAAAGCTACTCCTTGTTCCTTCTGTCGCTCACAAAGCAAAGAAACCATTTCCTCATGTGCACGAGAGACAGTAATAACTATCTAATTGTCCGATCAAATCAAACACGATCCACACTACGACTATAAAGCAGAGAAATGTTTGGTTTCCGTTCCCTCTTCGCCCTTTGACCCCCGATGAGAGTTTCCCCTCCTCAGACATCAGAGTCCCGTTTCTCAGACTTTCCGTCCCGTTCCCCATCTCCTCCCTGAGCTCCTGCTGCAGGAGTTTGGAGACGAGGTTGTTGAAGCGGTTCTCAGTCGTGGCGACGATTTGTGACGAAACCGTGGTTACATTCAGCTCTCCGGGGTCCACACAGGTGTCGTTAACTCTCGCAAAAACCACCTCGGAAAGATCTAATCCAGCCACGGAGGAAGGTGACGCACACGGGACGTCTCGAACTAGTTTATAACTTTCCATCCATTCTTTTAGCCACTCTAAGGAACAGTCGCACACCCATGGGTTCCTGAAAAGAAAGAGGCGAGCGAGGAAGTAAACGGGCTGGAAAACAGGAAAGGGGAACGTCGTGAGGTTGTTGCTGTTCAGGTGAAGCGTGATGAGGCTGGTGAGGTTCTCGAAGGCTCCTTCCTCGATGTTTAACAGCTGGTTCCTGTCCAGGTAGAGCACCTCCAGCTCCACCTGGTCACCGAACCAGGTGCGGGACACGTTGGTCAGCTTGTTCCCGCCCAGGTTCAGCATCTTGAGGCAGACGAGGCCTTTGAAGGCGGAGCGAGGGAGGCGCGCCAGCAAGTTGTCGTTCAGGTAGAAGTTCTCCAGACGCACCAGGTCCTGGAAGGAGTGGTCGTGGATCACGTGGATGCGGTTCTCCTGGAGGTTTAGGAACCTGAGAGCAAGAAGAAGAGGATATGTTTAGAAGACACAGAAGTGGGAAGTAGTGGAGTACAAATACTTTGTTACTGTACTTAAGTACATGTTTCTGGTATCAGTACTTTACTCCACTACTTATTTTTCTGACCACTTTTTACTTTGACTTCTTACATTTTGAACACAAATACCTGAACTTTCTACTTCTTACATGTTGAACACAAATACCTGTACTTTCTACTTCTCACATGTTGAACACAAATACCTGTACTTTCTACTTCTTACATGTTGAACACAAATACCTGTACTTTCTACTTCTTACATGTTGAACACAAATACCTGTACTTTCTACTTCTTACATGTTGAACACAAATACCTGTACTTTCTACTTCTTACATGTTGAACACAAATACCTGTACTTTCTACTTCTTACATTTTGAACACCAATACCTGTACTTTCTACTTCTTACATTTTGAACACCAATACCTGTACTTTCTACTTCTTACATGTTGAACACAAATACCTGTACTTTCTACTTCTTACATGTTGAACACAAATACCTGTACTTTCTACTTCTTACATGTTGAACACAAATACCTGTACTTTCTACTTCTCACATTTTCCAAACAGGCTGGTTCCTTTAGTTTGAATGTGTGTTTGGTGGCGTGATCATTATTATTTAGAGTCATTGCGTGCCTATTGATTTGAACACGATCCGTGTATCCATCATTTCCTGGTCTTCTCTAAAGAAGAGGGACCAATGAAAACGTTGTCATGTTGCCGTTGTTCAGCATGGAAACATTCATTAGCTAACAATGACATTATTGTTCTATTAATATAAAGGGAGGTCAGGTACTCTTTAAAACAGCTGCTAGTTATGGGTACTTTTTACTGAAGTACATTTCAAAGCCCTCTTTACTTCTACTTGAGTAAAGAAGTTTAGTCAGTACTTCTACTTTCACCAGAGTATTTTTAAACACGAGTATCTGTACTTCTACTTGAGTAAAGGATGTGTGTACTTCTTCTTGAGTAAAGGATGTGTGTACTTTTGACATCTCTGCCTGCCAGAAGTCCCTTAGTAACTTAATAAACTTTGACTTCCTGTCTTCTCTCACCTGCGTCTTGTGAGTCCCAGCAGATAGTTGTAGGCCACAGCCTCGATCCGACACCTCTCCAGGTATTGTTTGTGTATATATATATATATGTATTTATATCTGTGTGTCTCTCATCTGAGTCTTGTGAGGCCCAGTAGGGAGTTGTAGACCCTACACCTCTCCAGGTATTGTTTGTGTATATATATATATATGTATTTATATCTGTGTGTCTCTCACCTGAGTCTTGTGAGGCCCAGCAGGGAGTTGTAGGCCACCGCCTCGATGCGACACCTCTCCAGGTAGATGTGCGTCAGGTTCTCCATCCCTCTGAAGGACGAGGGGATCCTGCGGAAGTGGTTCTCGAAGAGGAAGACCTCGAGGAGCGCCGGCTGCTCGATGAAGATGCGGTCGGGGATGTTGAACAGGTTGCAGTTGGACAGGTCCAGGCGCTCCAGCTTCTTTATCCCCGTGAAGGTGCGCGTGTGAAGATAACTGATGTAGTCGTTGTTGGCCAGCTTCAGCTCCACCAGGTTAGGGAGGCCCTGAGGAGAGAGAGGGGGGTTGGCTCTTCAGATGACATGACCCACAGCTAAAGCTTTATTCAGACAACGACACTGTCAAAAGAACAGATATAAAGAGGTTCTATTAAGGTGTTGAAGGTGTTCCCTCTCCTGAAGTGTGTTCTATGGGTTTTAGTGCATGTAAATGGTCTGCAGAAAATATCACAGCTGATAGATTTTTGTCTGAGATTAGTGTTCTTTGGGCTAACTCCTGTAAGGTCTTTAAGGAGCTGCTATTGACATCCCCCCAGGATACATGACTATTATACTATTATATACTTGTCTGGTCTCCCATCTTTGTTGCAGCCTATGAGCCAGGCCGTAACAGTTACTCATATCCTTTTAATTATAATGTTGACATTAATTGCTCTTTTTTTTGTCTAATCTCTCACACACATACACACACACACACACACACACACACACACACACACACACACACACACACACACACACACACACACACACACAGACAGACACACACAGAAACAGAAACGGCATGAAGTTGGAAATGAAAGTTGAAATGCAGACGTTGAAATGGATCAAGGGATCAGCCGCTCGCTATCAGCTGTGATATGATGATGAGAGCAGATCAATAAACATTTTTAAATAAGATTATTGTGCTTTACGTGCACAAGGCAGGGAAAAAGATGCACGTTTGCCCTCTTTGAACTGGTCCTCTCCAGGAAATATGAAATGAATAATTGGTATTTTTTTATTGTTGTGTTAGCAGGAACATGAGCTGGCCGTGAGTGCTGAAGTTGAACCAGATTTAATCAAAATATTGTACTTTTCTTATCCGTTTTGAAGAGAGAGAGATGGGGCAATTTATTGAAAAATAAATTAAATAAATATACACAAATATGGTAAAAAAAAAACAGGCATAAAATGACTTAAACCCACAGTTGATAATTTGACAAAATATTGGGGAAAAAATCATAAAAGCTGTTTGTTTTGTTTTACCATTTTCTTTCCCTAAATATCACATAATAATTTGTAATATTTCTGTTACAAGGATGCCTTTGACATGCTGGGGGTCAAACTAGTGACCCCCTGATTGCCCTCGAGCCACCTAGACAGATGAAGGAGGAGGAGCCAAAGTGGACCGTGGTATCCAGAAAAATACCAGGTCACCAGGACGTCTGGAACCAAATTACACATATCTTTCTTTCAATATTTCTGAAGACGAAAGAGGTTTCATGTGTTGAACCCCGGCCCCCCACATTTAAAACCAATGCTTAGACCTCTAGGTTACTCTCAAGACTATTGAACAGTGAAATACCAGCTTCTTTCTTCAGTACAGACTCATAAAAACATGCTGTTAATATAGGAATATTCCTCGTTCAGACCTTGAAGGCTCCAGGCGTGATGAAGGAGATGTTGTTGTGCTCCACAGAGAGGCTCTTCAGGGCGGGCAGGGTCCCGAAGGCCCGCTCTGAGAGGAACTTCAAGCTGTTCTTGTCCAGGTTGATGGCTGCCGCCTCGCAGGGAAACTCTGGAGGAATCTCCGCCAGACGGGAGCGGTCACAAAGAACAGAGCAGCTCCTCTCGGGGGTGCAGGAGCAGGAGGGGGGGCAGGAGCGCACACAGGCCCAGCGAGCGAGGAGGGGCTGGGGGAGGAGGACCAGAAACACCACTGCATGGGAGACAGGGTTATAATTATATAAAGAAAACACTGCAGGAGAGATCACAAAGACACGTTTTGAATTATAAAAGTAAAACACTGTCACGAAGGAGAAAGTGCACTGATTTCATAAAACCTCATAGGCCAGATTTTATTTTTACAAACGTATGATTTTACTGTGAAGTCCTGATCACTCCCTAATGTTCGTATTGTTCGTACTTTTTACTGTTTTTATTTAAGGTATTTCGGACAGACAAACTTAAAGGTAGGGTAGGTGATTTTGGAGAAACCGGCTCGAGATCGCTAGAATTTGAAAATACACAACCGGAACAAATCTGCCACTTCCTCACAGAGCCCCTCCTCCAACACACACGAACGCGCACATGACCAATGAGGGCACGAGATAAGTTTGTGCACAGATGGAAGGCTGACAGGCAGGTAGGCCATCCAGTTATTTTAGCCGGGCCGGCTCAATGATTGGTCGTGCTTTTTACAGTACTACGGCTTCCACAGATGATATTTTTTTAATGTATTTTTTGTCAAAGCACTTCAGATATTCATTGCTATCGGGATGTTAAGAGCATTCCATGGAATATAACAAAAAGTGTTTCTGAAGTGAATTACCTACCCAACCTTTACGATGTACAATAACTATGTCTTGAAAAAACACTGTAATTGTTCGCTGCCAAAAAAATAAAATAAAAAATAAAACACTGCAGGAGAGATCACAAAGACACGTTTTGAATTATATTTAAAAAAACACTGTGGGAACATGCTGCAAAAGAATAAAGCTAGCATGCCGCAACACCGACACTGCAGGAGAGATCACAAAGACACGGTTTTAATTATATAAAGAAAACACTGCAGGAGACAAAAACACATTTTGAGTTATCCGCGAAAAACTATTGGTAAATTGCCTAATAAAATATTTAAAGTGGACCTATCATGCTATATTTGAATAATATAGTGTAGGACCATACCTATATAAGGCATATTTATACTTTTTTTTTTCAAAATACCAAACAGATCATGCATTTTAGCCATGCCTCATTTTGCTCAATTTGCACAAGGGCAGATTCTGTGAGAACAGCACCACCTACAGGCCTGGCATATGTACTACAGCGTCTCCAGCGCTTTCGAACGGCAATGGCCGTGGCTGTCTCCTCCTGATTGGTGGAGTTGGCCCAATAGCCGTAGCGCCACCGTCCTGACGTCAGGACAGTGTTCAAATCTGGATCAGTTTTTATCAGATCCGTTGCAGCCCCTTTTTTAGAGATTTGGGTATGGAGGAAAATAGAGAGGGTTGTGTTTTCTGACACTTGGTGAGTTCCCTGGAACACCGGGGACACATATTCATGTATAAAAGACGTACAAAAGTGCATTTTGCATGATAGGTCCCCTTTAAGTTAAACTGGTTCAAAAACACACTAAATCTACTAAATCCACTTCCCAAATGAAGTCTATGGTTCAAAGAGGAAGAGAGGCTGTGACCCTGAGTTTCTAAATGTCTGCTTTACACAGAATGGTCCCTTAGTTTTGTGTTACCACTATTTCTCCCGCTGGTAAATAGAAAAACTAAATGCATATTCTGCAGGAAGATTTGACCTCCACAGTCCAGATGGTTTAACTGTTTTAACTGCCACAGAATTGAGTGATAAAGTGTATGTAGTGAGTTTATTAACACACGTTTCCTCCTGAGTATTTCTGACGTTGGAGTCCCGTTGAGAGTGTAATTCTCTCTCTCCTGAAATGATGAAGTGATTAATAATGCAGCGCAGCTTACAGCAGATTAGCTGCACAACAATAGCTCCTGTCTGCTGATGGATTTATTTCAGCCTGCAGGCCGAAACCCAGCAGACTTCCTTTTAGTCTGATCAATCAGAACAGCCATCCCTGTCTGTAGAAGGACTTTAAAGGAGGAAAAAAATACATTTCTAGGAGAATTTGTCGTATTGTTAGCGAAGCATCGGAGCTCTCATCATCTGATATGATGCATTAGAATAAACTGTGAACCAATGTTGAGGTTTTTTTTTGTATTTTATGGTGAATTATAATCCATTTGTTATCTTAAATACTAAAATGTCTTATTTTAATATCTTCAAGGGGTTCAAACCAACATTTCCAAGAGGTTTTAGGAGAATTTGTCGTATTGTTAGCGAAGCATCGGAGCTCTCATCATCTGATATGATCCATTAGAGTAAACTGTGAACCAATGTTGAGTTATTTTAAGTAATTTTACGCTGAATTATAACTCCTTAGTTATCCTCAATACTCAAATGTCTTAATTTAACGTCTTTAAGTGGTTTAAAGCCAACATTTTTAGGAGATTCTTGGAGAATTTGTCGTATGGTTAGCGATGCACTAAACTGTGAACCAATATTGAGGGTTTTTTTGTATTTTATGCTTGAATTATAATCCCTTTGTTATCCTAAATTCACATTTTTGTCAATTTAATATCTTTAAGAGGTTTAAAACTAACATTTCTGGATTTTAATAGGACAATATTTCTGATAATTCAGCATGCATCAAAGGATAACAGCTATGGATGAATAAGAGAAATCAAATCAAACATCAGTTTTGGATTAGATTTCACCTCAACAGATTTTAGTTTTGCAATTGAAATGTTTAGCTGTGTGAAAAAGGTTGAAAATAAATAAGAAACAGTGCTGCATAACAATCATGTAGTGGCCGGCCTTTAATCAAATAAATACATTTATTTTGTGTATTTATTCATTCATTCATTCCTTTTTTCATTTTGTATGTACTTCACAGTTTGAGTATAAGGTTTGTAAGATGTTCAGGCTTTGTGAAGCAATGTGCATCCATACAATACAACTGTTATTAAGTGGTGGGTTTTATTTAGTATTTTCCACTGGAATGATATATTTTAATACTTGGATTCAATCTTTTTGCACAAAGTCTAATGCTGCACAAAATGAAGCAGCAGTATTTCTTAACTGAGTTATGATGTGAGCTTTATATTTCCTCTTTAAGGCCTTTGCATATTCTTCCAGCATGATGTTTCTTAAAGCTCCTGCCCCCCCCCTCCCTGTGAGCCCAGTGGCCGTCTCCGAGACAGCGAGACACAGCGAAAAACATCCCGAAACACACACACACCCGCAGCCTGGCTGGGAGTTTGTGTGTGTGCTCAGGCTGAGTTCCGCGGTGTCTCGCTGTCTCTCCGACCCCACACCAGTGAGCCAGCTCACAGTGTCCGCTCCTCGCAGCAGCGAGCCTCGCAACGTCCCGCCGAGTGTGTGTGTGTGAGGAAGTCCGCGGATTGGTCCAAACGTAACGGCTCCGCGGTCGTTACGTTACGTCACTATACCCGAAATACGCCACTATACCCAAGAAGTAAACAATGGAGAAAGAGAAATCTCCAACGAGGCGTTCTGGGGCAGCATAGACAGGTATTTTCTGTGTTAAAGTTTTACTCTCTACAGGGTGTGCTTTGAGGGTTTGTGACTCTGCAGACTGTTTACATGCAGAAAAAGCTACATAACACTCAAGGGGACGGGTAATAACCAGAAAAGCATGACATGGGACCTTTAAAGTGGACCTATCATGCTATATTTGAATAATATAGTATAGGACCATACCTATATAAGGCATATTTTTTTTTCAAAATACCAAACAGATCATGCATTTTAGCCATGCCTCATTTTGCTCAATTTGAAAATGTATAGCTCTGTTTGTGCAAGGGCTGATTCTGTGAGAACAGCACCACCTACAGGCCTGGCATATGCACTACAGCGTCTCCAGCGCTTTCGAACGGCAATGGCCGTGGCTGTCTCCTCCTGATTGGTGGAGTTGGCCCAATAGCCGTAGCGCCTCCGTCCTGACGTCAGGACAGTGTTCAAATCTGGATCAGTTTTTATCAGATCCGTTGCAGCCCCTTTTTTAGAGATTTGGGTATGGAGGAAAATAGAGAGGGTTGTGTTTTCTGACACTTGGTGAGTTCCCTGGAACACCGGGGACACATATTCATGTAGAAAAGACGTACAAAAGTGCATTTTGCATGATAGGTCCCCTTTAAGTAAGGTTCATTTTTCATTTGCACAATCGCTTGGCAATAAGAGTCTAAAGTCCCAGGCTCCTCTAACCAGAAATAAGACTAGAATAATGCATGTGACACAATGGTGCAAAGTGCATCCATATAAATGTTCTGTTAACATCTCTCCTGTTTAACAGTCGGAAAAGACTTCCATTATCTCACAGGAAAATGTGGTTTTGTGCCGTTTTGTCATGTTAGTGAGGATTCATTCATTCATTCATTCATTGATCTGAGAGCAGCTGCATGGAGGAGGTGAAGGATTGAAAGTGACTCACCAGTGAAAGTGATGACAGTCATTACTGCGGCCTCTCATCTGGGACATGCCAGGATTAGCGGGGGTCTGAAACGGTACAAAAAAACAACAACAAGACAGCAGCACTTAATGATGAAATATAAAAAACATGTCCCAAATCCAGCCGTGCAAAGTGACTCCAAGGACGCCGCTTGAGCTCCGTTTGACTCTGAAACTCGTCACAATCTTATATAATCTGCACGAAATGTAATTGTAATAATATAAAGACAAATAAAAAAGAGCGTACCTGCAGATCTTTCAGGGAAGTTGCCTCCATTTGTGTTAAAAATCCAGATGTTCCTGCATGTCTCCATCCTGCAGACTGCACCTCTATCTGAGGCTTCTGCAGAGAAAAGAGTGTGTGCTACTACACTTCAACCTCCCCCCTTCACACACACACACACACACACACACACACACACACACACACACACACACACACACACACACACACACACACACACACACACACACACACACACACACACACACACACACACACACACACACACACACACACACACACCAAAAAGCCATCTCTTAATGGCAGTGAAATCCCCTGGATGGAGGGATGGAGGGATTACTGAAGTAAAGAGAAGCTCTCAGATCAAAAAGCACAGCGGTAACTTAGAAACACACAGATTACACACACACACACACACACACACACACACACACACACACACACACACACACACACACACACACACACACACACACACACACACACACACACACACACACACACACACACACACACACACACACACACACACACACACACACACACACACACACACAGTCTCTCTCACACAGAAACAGAAACGGCATGAAGTTGGAAATGAAAGTTGAAATGCAGACGTTGAAATGGATCAAGGGATCAGCCGCTCGCTATCAGCTGTGATATGATGATGAGAGGAGATCAATAAACATTTTTAAATAAGATTATTATGCTTTACGTGCACAAGGCCGGGTAAAAGATGCACGTTTGCCCTCTTTGAACTGGTCCTCTCCAGGAAAAATAAAATTAATAATTGGTAACAGTTGCCCATGAGTGCTGAAGATTTAAGATTTAACCAAAATGTCGTCCTTTTGTATCAGTTTCTATGAGAGAGATGGGGCAATTTATTGAAGAATAAATTAAATGAATATACAAAAATGATGACTTAAACCCACAGTTGATAATTTGACAAAATATTGAAAATAAATCATAAAAGCTGTTTGTTTTTTAACCATTTTGTTTCCCTGTACATCACATAATCATTTGTAATTTTTCTGTTACTTTCCGCCAATGATTTCTAAACCTATCATGCAAAATGCACTTTTTGATGTCTTTTATACATAAATATGTGTCCCCGGTGCGTCGGGGAACTCACGCAGTGTCAGAAAATAAAACCCTCTCTCTTTTCCTCCGTACCCAAATCTTTTAAAAACGGGGCTACAACGAGCGGATACAGATTTGCTGCCGATATGACATCAAATCGGCAGCGGACCCACAGAGAGTTGCTATCAGAAACAATGCCTGACGTGTTTTGGACGTAATCTAATCTTTGTTTACATTAGCAAGCCTCGCTAACACTCAGAGCTAACCTGTACTGGAGAGCACATGTGTTTAAAAAGCAGGAAATACAAAAAGTAACTCACCTTGTGGTAAACCCACAAGAGAAAAATAATCTGAGCTCCATACTGTTTCAGAAATAATCCTTGATGTGGTTTAGAACAGGATGGCGTTTTATCACAGCAGAATTTAACTTTATCTCCGGTAGAATTCTGATCAGGCATTAGCTCCGCCTCCTCTTTTTTTTTTTTATTAAGGTAAGGACCCAAAATCCGCGTTTCTCTAACAGCTGGAATAGACGGTTTGGGCAGTATGAGGCATGATATCTGGATGACTACATCGTTCAAAGTGAGATGTTGGGGCAGGTAAAGGCGGGGCTCCAAGCTAACCTGAAGAGTGAGTTGGGGTATCTGGGGTCGATGGAGTCTCCTCTTTGGTGCCGGGATGGGTGGGAGGTGGTGGTAGGTAGCAGCAGGTGTATGTGCAACATCTTTCTTCTTAAGAAAAGCTTTAAGTACAATTGATTGTTTTTGTTCATTTCATATTGAGGAGAGCCAACAGGAAGTCTCTCATCAGCTGCAGCCTTCTTCTTTATTTTCCAAAATGCCTCCACGCTCCTCTTCACGTCTCAAACTCGCCCCGTGATGAATACACTGAGAACAAAGAAAACCTGAGCTTACAGATTTGTCTGGAACACCAGAAACACACTGAGCAATAACTACATTTTAACTAAGTGTTGAAACCTCAATAAATAAACTTCACTTGGTACGACCTCTCACCTTTCTGTGTGTCTTCACTTCCTGTCACCTGAGAGGAGAAGGAGAGAGAGAGAGAATAATGAAGAGTGTAGTTTTCCTCTGAGGTCATGCTCCATTAAAGAGTTTCATATCTTGATGAATGGAGGATATGGTTTCAGTACTCACAGGTCTTCTGGATCGTGGCTCTGATCGTCTCTCCTGTGATCCTGTAGGGATGAACACAATCCAACAGTTTTAGATCCCGTTAAAATAAGTGTTAGTTCTTTGAGTCAGCTTCAGAGTCCTGATCTCATGCTTTACATCCCATCATATCTTCTCTGCAAACACTACGACTGCCTGCCACAGCTCTCAGCTGCATTACAGGAAGTAACCAGTCATTGGTCTAGAACAGGGGGGTCCAAACCTTTTTCACCGAGGGCCGCATACAGAAAAATATATAAAGGGCTGGGCCGCTATCTTGAGGTATGTTGCCACATAAGTTAAGTTATAAGTCAGAAAACTCAATAAAATGAAGGTAAATGATGCTTGTTACTTGAATATATATTTACAGCAAGGGCATATCTGTTGACAGCGGAGATATTGAGGCCTGTCATGCCCTGCGGAGCAAGAACACAACAGCCACACCAGCAATAATAATCCGGTTCATCAACAGGAAAAATAAATATGCACTCCTCAGACAAGGAAGGAAACTAAAAGGGACCAATGTTTACATTAACGAACACCTTACGAAGAAGAACGCGGACATCGCAAGGAGAGCACGTATACTAAAGAAACAAAACAAGATTCAAGCAACATGGTCGACAAATTGTAAAAATGTTATCAAACTAAATGGATCAACAGCAGAGATGGCGAAAGTGCTCATTATCCGGGACATCACCGAGCTGGATCAGTTTGAGGAATGAAACATCAAAATCAACATAAGGTAACTGAATAGCTACACACTGAAATGAACACACTAAGAACACCCATGATAAGCTTGGACAAAAACCACTCACCTGCTGAATATGAAAAACTGGACTTGAAATGTTTCAAATACACGGAACATAAATCACAAGACATTGAAAAGGATATTGACCCTGAAAATAATTTCTACAATAACATCCATAACCAATGTGAATACTACACAGAAGATCAACTCAAAAGAAATGGAATAATGGATGGATCAATATCAATATTACATTTTAATAGCAGAAGCCTCATTTCAAATGTATCAAAGATCAAACACTGTTTAAGGCAACTGGAGAAACAAGTTACAGCCCTAGCAATATCAGAGACCTGGCTTAGTGATGAGCAAGCTGACATGGTTGAAATCGAGGGATACAAAATGTTTTTTACTAATAGGACTAATTCTAAAGGTGGGGGGACTGCACTTTATATTAACAAAAGTTACAAAAGTAGATCTGTCAGTAATATGTCTTTTGCTATAGACAACATTATGGAATGCATAACAGTAGAAATTGAAATGAAAAAAATCTAAAAACCTTCTGATAAGCTGCGTGTATAGAAAACCAGGATCATGTATTGACACATTTGAGAAAAAGCTAGCTGAACTTTATAACTACACAAGCAGCAAGAACATGCTCTTTGTATGTGGAGATTTTAACATTGATTTGCTGAACCCACAAGAACACAATGCAACTACAGAATTTATTAATTCTATGTATAGCAACAGTTTATATCCTACAATCACACGAACAACCAGAATAACATCACACAGTGCTACACTCATTGACAACATATTCACAAATGTTATGGATAGGAAAGTAATAAGTGGAATATTAATAAATGACACAAGTGATCACCTGCCAGTCTTTGCAACGACACAGAATTATCCAAACAAGACTGGAACAAAGTGTATGTACCAGATGTAAATGAAGCCTATGAATCATTTCTAGATATTCTATCAGGGCTGTATGAAAAACATTGTCCTCGTGTAAAGAAAATAGTGAAACAAAAATATGCTGAAAAACCATGGATCACTAAGGGAATATTAAATGCATGTAAAAACGAAAAATGAATTATATAAAGACTTCTTAAAGAATAGATCAGTAGAGGCTGAACAAAAATACAAGACATACAAAAACAAACTGACAAAGATAATACGATGTAGCAAAATGGATCATTACAACAAATTATTGGAGGATAACAAAAATAACATTAAAAACACATGGAATGTATTAAATACCATTATTAAAAAAGGAAATGGAAAGGCACAATACCCAAACAGTTTTCTGTCAAAAAACGATACAGTAATTTATGACATGACCTCAGTTGCTGAAGATTTCAATAAGTACTTTGTCAATGTTGGTCCTTGTCTAGCTGGGGAAATTCCAAATACTGGTAGTAGTGAAGGTGTAGAAAGTAAAGATATATATGTGAAGGAAACTATATTCTTAAGAGGGACTGATGAAAATGAAATTATTGACACAGTTAAAAAACTTAAGAGTAAAAGGTCTACAGACTGTCATGATATTGACATGTATACAGTTAAAAACATTATTGAATGTATAGCCAAACCAATAACTCTGTAATCAGTCAATACAAACCGGTGTATTTCCAAATAAAATGAAAACTGCTCAAGTCATACCAATACATAAATCTGGAGATAAACATGTACTCTCAAACTATAGACCAATTTAATTGCTCTCACAGTTGTCTAAAATACTGGAAAAAATCGACTATACAAGACTAAATGACTTCATCACCAAACATAACATACTCTATGAACAACAATATGGTTTCAGAGCTAACAGAACCACATCATTTGCAGTTATAGAATTTATGGAACACATTACTAAGGCAATAGAAAAGAATATGCAATAGGGATATTTCTGAAACTTAAAAAAGCATTTGACACGGTTGACCATGAATTATTAATAAAAAAACTACAGAGATATGGCATTAGAGGTGTTGCACTATCATGGCTATCCAGCTACCTACATAACAGGGAACAGTACATTGAACTACAAAGCCATAAATCACAACTACTGCAGGTTACATGTGGGGTGCCTCAGGGCTCAGTCTTGGGGCCATTACTATTTATTCTGTATATTAGCCCTGAGCCTGTTTTTCAGGTCTCAGGCTCGAAAATGCCATTCCCAGAACAAATTACCATATCTTCCCTTCTAAAAGGGTTAAATTAATAATCTTTTTTCTCAAAGTAATGATAGACCTGTGAGTTGGATGTAGAAAAGTCAGAACAATATAGATGTTTTTTATTTTAAAGAAAATTCAGATTTTACATAGTAAAAAACTGTAAATGATAGTGTCCGTCCAACAATAATTTTTTACTTATAGTGAAAACTACCCTTGGATGATGGTAAAGTAGACTAAAAGCTTTAGGAATCCAAAGTACAACATATAATAAGTACCCTGTATCAAGATTGATGCAAAACAAGTGACATTTTACCTTTTTAGAGAGGTTTAGCAAAAACAACTCCACCTCTGATGTGATTTCGGTGGAAATGGGGGTTTTACCGTTTCTCTGGAACCCATTGGTCGATTTTGGTGATTGACATCTCTTTCTGACCGTTAGAGCCAATAGAATCGAAGGGGGGTTTTCACATAGACTCCAACGTTAACACAAAAAGGTGGGGGCTTTGCGCATGTAGTTTTGCATGAGAGTGAAGCTATCTCTCGCTCTGACATCTAGAAACGGAAAAGCAGTCTTATTGCTCATGGATTATCAGAAATCATTTCAAAGGGACACAGACACATTGGATTAACCTATGGATTAACTTCAGCAGCGTTTTTATCGTTATAATGCCATTGAAGACCACTTTTGAGCAGACTACGACACAAGGTAACCATGTTAGCATTTTTAGCTACCTAGCGCCACATGTTTTGATGTCTGTTTTTGTTTATAAAGTCGCAATTTCGTATAATTGAGTGATAATGAGGGTACCCTTCGATTCTGTGTCACCTCACGATGTGAAACGATGTCATGGATGTGCAGAAAAGATAAATAATAAGGTTTTGTGAGTGAATTTCAGTGCAGTAATCTGTTAGCATTTTTTGCTCGTTGCTAATTCAGAGGCTCAGCGTTAGCATTGTGGGTTTTATTTAGAAAATAAATAAAAAATGATCAGTTAGATGAGTTTCTTCCTGTTACATGGATATAAAACATTCATAGTTTATTAAATGAACATGCCCTCAGACACTGTTTCCTGCAAGATGTTGCGGCAGTGCCCCGGTACCGGGGTCTCTCAGGCTTAACAGGTTAACAATATATGTGAAGTATCAAAAACTATTAAAACCATTCTTTTTGCAGACGACACAAGTCTACTCTGCTGTGGGGACAATTTAGAACAGCTATTGGTCACAATGGAAAAGGAACTGAGCAGGATGAAGATCTGGTTTGACCAAAATAAATTAACATTGAACGCAAGCAAAACCAAACTCATAATATTTGGGAATCGATCGACCAAAGAAACTCACTATAAATGGCGTCCAATTAGAAAGAGTATCGGAAATAAAATTCCTTGGAGTAATCATAGACAATAAATTAAGTTGGAAACCACATATAAGCTATATCAAAGCCAAAATATCCAAATCAATAGCAATTCTGAATAAAGCCAAATACCTAATTAATCAAGCTTCCTTGTTTATGGTGTACTGCTCCTTCATACTTCCATACATGATGTATTGTGTGGAAGTTTGGGGGAACACATATAAAACAAATACACATCCTATCTTCATCCTGCAAAAAAGAGCCATACGGGTTATACATAAAACTACGTACAGAGAACCAACAAATAAATTATTTATCAAACTAAAAACACTAAAACTACAAGACCTGGTTGACTATAAAACTATTCAAATTATGTTCAAAGCCGCAAATAAAAAATTACCTCATAATATCCAGGGACTTTTCACACGGAGAGAAAGCATGCACATGTTTAGAGGAAACTGCATTTTCAAAAAACCACCCGTACGAACAAATGCCAAACTTCATTGCATCTCATCAAAAGGTGTTAGTCTGTGGAATAACTGTACTGATGCACTGAAATATTGTACAAGTCTATCTAAACTGAAAGTATTATTTAGGAGCCAAATCATTAATGGTTATGAACAGGACCTGTAAAATCCCATTTGTTATTTCTTGTAATTGTAAAAGTAATTTCTTTCTGATTGTTTTGTAAAAAAACAAAAAATAAACAAATTAACAAGACAAACATGTCGCTGATGACGATGACCTAATATTTTATTTATAAGGAAAATGTATGCTAGATTTAGCAGGACCATAAAAGTTGTTTTAAGCTTCTTCTTGCCCCTGTTGAGCATGACAGAGACTATTTGAGAATTTTTTTTTTTTTTTTTTTATTATCTTTTTTTTGTACTTTGTTATAATTATTATTATGAGTGAGAAAAAAAAGAAAAAATAATATATATATATACCATTATTATTGTTGTATGTTTTGTTTCTGACATGTTCAATAAATTGACTAAAAAAGAAATTAAAAAAAAAAGAATTTAAGAAACAAAACAGCTCCCAGCTCTCCAGAGGGTTTACTTTATTCTGTCAGCAGCTCATTCCTTTAAGCAGGAGCTTCAGATTGATTATAATTACAGGAAATATGAAGGGTTTATTTCACGCTTGTTATAAAAATAAGTTATTGGGCTTTTTTCTTATCAAGTTAGATTTGTGAGGAAATGTTTTCCAATTTAATTGACTGCATTTATTTTAAAAGTGGGCTCTTATTAACACATGAATAGTACTGTGTAATATATGTGTACATATATATTTAAGAAGTAAAATAGAAGACAAGCACAAGTTTCATTTGTGGGTCATATTTCATTATACTTTCAGAACTTGCTGAGGGCCGATTCCGAGGGCCGCATTTGGCCCCCGGGCCGCAGTTTGGACACCCCTTGTCTAGAAACTAAAAACATCCCATAAGAACAGACTACCTTTCCCACTCTTCTGTAAAACCCCATATGTCTGTTAGAGAGTTGATTACTAAAGTGTGGCTTTGAAGGTTCAGCTGGCCTTGAAAGAGCCTGCAGTCAGTGGGTAACATCACTGATCTGTTGTGATTCCCCAGTGAGAGAAATCCCTCCCTGTGTTTAATACAATACTGCTGAACCAGCAGAGACCCCTTACTGACCAGAGAGTCTCCAGTCTGCAGTCTGGACTCTCCAGAAGATCTCTCAGCAGCTCCACTCCTGAATCCTGCAGATCGTTGAGACTCAGGTTCAGATCTCTCAGATAGATGTTAGACTTCAGAGCTGAGATCAGAGCAGAACAGCTGATCTCTGACAACCTGCAGTACCTCAGACTGAATAAAGAAAACAAGATGAGGATACAAATCAGTTTATATGTGCATATATATTTAGATGTGTTACTCAACATTGAAATGAATGGGAACAAAAAATCTGTCTACTTCAGAAAGTAAACTTTATCCTGTAAAACTAATATTACTTCAGATGACTTTTATTCAGACGTTATCGTTTACTAAAAATTAAACATAGATTTACTTTTCACAACTAACAGCCCTCTCTCTCTTCTCTTGATCACCCTCTCTCTTCTCGTGATCGCCCTCTCTCTTCTCTTGATCGCCCTCTGTCTCTTCTCTTGATCGCCCTCTCTCTCTCTCCTCTTGATTGCCCTCTCTCTCTTCTCTTGATCGCCCTCTCTCTCTCCTCTTGATCGCCCTCTCTCTCTTCTCTTGATCGCCCTCTCTCTCCTCTTGATCGCCCTCTCACTCTTCTATCACCCTCTCTCTCTTCTCTTGATCACCCTCTCTCTGTTCTCTTGATCACCCTCTCACTCTTCTATCACCCTCTCTCTCTTCTCTTGATCGCCCTCTCTCTCTTCTCTTGATCGCCCTCTCTCTTCTCTTGATCGCCCTTAATTGTTACAGCTCAAATGCATTGCAATGACTTCCATGTTAAAAAAAGACTTTAAAAAGCTGAATGTTTTAAAAAGTATAACATATTTTGAAAAAGTTGAAAGTTTCCCATCATGTGCTGAAAAGGCTGAATAGTTTGATATTTTAATGGTTTCTGTAGCTGAAATTAGGCTGAAGGAGTTAAATAAAGATATTAAATGTAAGTAGTAGTGAATGAATGTTTACAAACACCTGTGTGTGTAAACCCAGAGATGAAAGGTTACCATGGTGACGACTTATGACGATTTACCAACTGCAGCACTGAGTCCCATTAAGAATGCATTGAGGATTATATCTGACAATTTTGCCACCTGTTCAAAAACTATGGCTCCTATCAAAAAATTACCAGACCGTGAGCATCAGGGAACCCCAATGAACTGATATATGTTGTTTTTTTTGGTTTTGTGTGTAAAATGTGGAGATGGGAGCAGTTTGTCTAAAGTGTACTTCTCTCTGTTCTGAAGAAAGTTCCGGAAAGATTTAACATGGGAATCAATTGGGAGCTAGGTGGACTTTTTGTCTCTTCATGCCCTCAAGAGGCATTTCGTTTAATATTTCTTCTTAATTTTTTTTAATTTTCCAACCTAGGAGAGGTTTTCCTACGTTTTTCATGAAAAAATATGTCTGAGGAGTGTAGGGTTTGGAAATTATGGCAAGTTTAAAACATTTTTTGGGGAGAATTTGAAGCACTGCTGCACTCTGTTTTGAGATCAAAGCACTCTAGACTTAACGAGCTGCTCCATCCACACTAATGTTAAAATCTGAAGAAAGCCTCTTTACCAAGCTCCAAACTAAGTTAAATAGCTCAAAAAGTGTAAAAGATATCAAAGATAAAAAATGTTGATAGCTGAAGGTCTTGTGATCATTTGAAAGTTGGAATGAAGTGTCTAGCTGAAAGTATGTGGAAGGAGTAGCATTTGGCGCAAAGTGTAGGAAAAGAGGATTTGAAGGCATCTCCCATTGACTTCCATGTTAAAAAAAGAGTTTAAAACGCTGAATATTTCAAGAAGTATAAAATATTTTTAAAAATGTGAAGGTTTCCCATCGATTCCTGAACAGGCTGAATAGTTTAATATTTGAATGGTTTCTGTAGCTGAAAATAAGCTGAAGTTATGGAGTGCCAAAGTATTGGCTGAAATAATAAGGGGAAGAATAAAGAATCAAAGTACTATAGTGGAATGCTGTGGCACAGCATTCACACTAATAACTAATGAAACATGAGATCTCCAGCAGTAACAGAGAGTCAGTGAACTGACTTGAGAGTCTCCAGTCTGCAGTCTGGACTCTCCAGAAGATCTCTCAGCTTCACTCCTGAATCCTGAAGCTCGTTGCCATTCAGGTTCAGATCTCTCAGATGGTTGTTGGACTTCAGAGCTGAGATCAGAGCAGAACAGCTGATCTCTGACAAACTGCAGTGACTCAGACTGAATAAAGAAAACATAATGAGGATAACAATCAGTTTATAATCCAATCAGATGTTACTCAACATTTAAATGAATGGGAACAAAAAATCTATCACTTCAGAAAGTGAACTTTATCCTGTAAAACTAATATTACTTCAGATGAACTTAATTCAGACGTTATCATTTACTAAATATTAAAAACATAGATTTACGTTGAACAACTAACATCTATTACAGTTCCTTTAAGTATCAGTCAACATTTATCTCTGCAGTTCTTACTTTAGTACCTACAAATGAAAGTATGAATAAACTTTATGGATGTAAGTTAATTATGTAGAAGAATCAGGTTGAATAACTAATGAAACATGAGATCTCCAGCAGTAACAGAGAGTCAGTGAACTGACTTGAGAGTCTGCAGTCTGCAGTCTGGACTCTCCAGAAGATCTCCCAGCTCCACTCCTGAATCCTGCAGAGCATTGAGACTCAGGTCCAGAACTCTCAGATGGGAGGGGTTGGACTTCAGAGCTGAGATCAGAGCAGAACAGCTGATCTCTGTCAACCAGCAGCTATCCAGTCTGAATAAAGAAAACAAGATGTTTCTTTAGAAAACAATGTTCCTGTTTGAAATAACTCCAGGTTTAATAATCTGTTCAGAGTTAAACAGGGTTTTAAAGGTCTCCTATCAAGCTATCTTTAGGCATACATTATGGGTCTCAGATATTTAAAAAAATATAAAAAACATGTCTATGATGTGTTTTGCTCCAAATACCAAACAGATCATGCATTTTAGAAATCCCTCATATCCCTCTGTTCCAGCTGTTAGAGAAGAGCAGGTTCGGGTCCTTAGCTTGAAAAAAAAAAAGAGGAGGCGGAGCTAATGCCTGATCAGAATTCTAGCATCAGAAACTCAGCCAAATGCTGCCGTGATTAAACTCCATATCATGTTCCAAACCACATCAAGGATTATTTCTGAAACAGTATGGAGCTAAAACTCTTTCTCTCTCTCAGGTTTACCACAAGGTGAGTTCCTTTTCATTTCCTGCTTCTTTACACATACTCTCTCCAGTACAGGTTAGTACTGTGTACTGAGTGTTAGCGATGCTAATGTAAACACAGACCATATTACTTCCAGAACACGTCTCATTGTTTCTGACAGCAACGTTCAGAAAATGATAAATACAAACAGATGAAGTTCAGTCAGTGAACTGACCTGAGAGCCTCCAGTCTGCAGTTTGCACTCTTTAGTCCAGAACTCAGCAGCTCCACTCCTGAATCCTTCAGAGGGTTGTCACTCAGGTCCAGATCTCTCAGATGGGAGGGATCAGACTTCAGAGCTGAGGCCACGACTTCACAGTGAGCCTCTGAGAGTCCACAGTCAGTAAGTCTATAATAACACATATATTACAACATGTGTTAAAAAAGAGGAAACATAATGACCTCAAGCATTTGATGAAAACAATATTTGACATACGTTCTGATTGAGATTTGCTGTTAGTCCATTTTATATATAATAATATATGATAATAGAGTTTAATGTGTTGTCAGTGTGATCTGATCACATGTCTGTGCTCCTGCTGTCACTGACTGTTACCAAAGAAACAGAAATTACAATATTAGAGATGTACATATTTTAATGTTAATTAATATTTGGATGTGAATGATGGATGTTTTGGCTTCTCTGAGCATCTGGAAATGTATTGTGCACACAAACACAGTTAACAAACCAATAAAGTTTCAATATGTTAACCTGAATACCATCAGATGTTCTCACTATATGAGTATTAAGACATAACACTGGTATTGGTGGGATATGATATAGATCTGATTTTAAACTCTAATACATTGTGATAAAAACATGTGTGTGTTTAATGATAAAGAAACTACTAGAAAGTAATAATAACTGATAACTGTAAGTCCTGCTGTGCGGTGTGATCACATGCTGAGAAACCTCTAAAGTCCTTCATGTGTTTGACATGTCGTCTCCATCACTCAATATGAAGAGAGAAACGGTTCAGTTTAACTATTATTATAAATAAATAGAAGAACAGTGTTGGTTTATTTTGCTCTCAGTATTTAAACAGCAGAAATCGTATGGTGTTTATTTGAATAATTAAACTTCTGATCCACATTAGTTTATAAAGTTAATCACATCTGGACTTACACAGCCTTCCTGCAGTTCCTCACAGCTTGAATCAGTCTCAGTCGTCCCTCCGGTGATGTTTTGTACTTGGTCAGGTCCAACTCATCCAGAACCTCCTCTGACATCTGCAGCATATAGGCCAGAGCAGAGCAGTGGATCACAGAGAGTCTCTTTGATTTGTTCTCTGACTTCAGGAACTCTGTGATCTCCTGATGTACTGAGAGGTCCTTCATCTCTGTCAGACAGTGGAAGATGTTGATGCTCCTTTCAGGAGAGATTTTTGTTCTCTTCTCCTTCAGGTTGTTGATGGCTCTCTGGATGATTTTTGGACTGTTGTCTGTGTGACCCAGCAGGCCTCCTAACAGTCTCTGGTTGGACTCCAGAGAGAGGCCGTGGAGAAAGCGGACAAACAGGTCCAGGTGGCCATTTTTACTTCTGAGAGATTTCGCCATGACTCCCTTAAGGAAGACATCCAGTGATGGGTAATCCTGATCACTGCTGTTAATGTTCTTATAGTGCCAGTCTCTCTGCAGGAAGTCCTTCAGTACCTCTGTGTCTCTGTTGGTGTAACAGTGCAACATGTAGACTGCAGCCAGAAACTCCTGAATGCTCAGATGAACAAAGCAGTAGACTGTTTTCTGGAAGATCACTCTCTCTCTTTTGAAGATCTCTGTACAAACTCCTGAGTGCACCAAGGCCTCGGTGACATCAAGACCACAGCGCTGCAGGTCTTCTTGGTAGAACATGATGTCTCCTTTCTCCAGATGTTCAAACGCCAGCCTCCCCAGCTTCAGAAGAACCTCCCTGTCAGCCTCCGTCAGCTGCTGTGGACTCGTCTCATGTCCCTCTTCATACTTCTGCTTCTTCCTCTTGGTCTGGACCAGCAGGAAGTGTGAGTACATGTCAGTGAGGGTCTGGGGCAGCTCTCCTCTCTGGTCTGTAGTCAACATGTGGTCCAGAACTGCAGCAGTGATCCAGCAGAAGACTGGGATCAGACACATGATGTGGAGGCTCCTGGAGCTCTTGATGTGAGAGATGATTCTGCTGGACAGGTCTTCATCACTCAATCTCCTCCTGAAGTACTCCTCCTTCTGGGCGTCAGTGAAGCCTCGTACTTCTGTTACCCTGTCCACACACTCAGGAGGGATCTGATTGGCCGCTGCAGGTCTGGAAGTTATCCAGACGAGAGCCGAGGGAAGCACCTTCCCCCTGATGAGGTTTGTCAGCAGCACGTTGACTGAGGACTGCTGTGAGACATCAGACACAACCTCATTGTTTCTGAAATCCAGAGAAAGTCTGCTTTCATCCAGGCCGTCAAAGATGAGCAGCACTTTGCAGACAGCCAGCTGCTCTGCTGTGACCTTCTGTAAGGTTGGATGGAAAACATGGAGCAGCCTGAGAAGACTGTACTGCTCATCTTTGATCAGGTTCAGCTCCCTGAAGGAGAGCGGGATCACCAGACTGACATCTTGGTTTTCCAAACCCTCGGCCCAGTCCAGAGTGAACTTCTGCACTGAGAAGGTTTTTCCAACTCCAGCGACTCCGTTGGTCAGGACCGCTTTGATGTGAGTCTGTTGGTCAGGTAAGGCTTTAAAGATGTCCTGGCACCTGATTGGAGTGTCATGGAGGGTCTCTTTCTTGGAAGCTGTCTCCAGCTGCCTCACCTCATGTTGGGTATTAACCTCTTCACTCTGGCCTTGTGTGATGTAGAGCTCAGTGAAGATGCTGTTGAGGAGGGTTTCACTTTCATCCGTTCCTTCAGTCACACGTTCACATCTCCTCCTCAGACTGAGCCTATGTTCATCTAAAACCTCCTGCAGACCACTATCTGCTGGAAGAGAAGGAAACATGAGAGAATAAGAAAATTCTTTTGAGAATCTAACAATAAAACTAATAAAAACAGACTGAGTTTAAATGTTTTATAAACATTTTAATGTCTATGTTCTTCAACAGAATACCTAATAAAAAAAACAAATGAACCAGGAAGAGGAATAAGACGCTGCATGAGTTCGGCCTCTTACCTCGTACAGAGCTGGTCTGACTGGCTGTCTGCAGGCCAGCTCTGGTTCTGGATCTTTTCCCACACTGGGGACAGGAGGGGTCTCCTGATGGAGGGCGCCGCTCCCAGTATGAGGTGATGCACTGTCTGCAGAACCAGTGTCCACAGCTGGTAGAGACTGGATCCTTCAGGACGTCCTGACACAGAGCACAGCTGGACAACTGCTCCTCCACAGGAACACCACTCTTCCTCTTCCCTCTGTGGAGATGAACACATCCTTTAAAGCACTTTACTTCAGAGGGGCTGATTCTCACCAAAGGTACAACAAGGGGGCAAATTCTAGTTTGATATTTTAAAAAGGTCTATATAATATACCCTTGTGATCAGGTAGATAGCTTACAATTCATATTATCATAAAACCAAAGAGCATCCTGTCTGGATTCATCACCCAGAGGAGCACATGTTCCCTGTATCTACACACACAGCTGTATTAACCTGGTACACTATAAACCCAACTTGCATAGAATCTGCTCTGAATTAATAGCAATAAACATATGGAAAGGATGCCTAAATAACAACAGAATGATACTGATTTGTAAAAAGCCTGAGTTAATGCTTTGTCAGGTCTGTCTCCAACACAACGAGCATAAAAACCTTTTTAAATGTTTTTTTTCTGAATGAGACCGGTTTGATTAAAGCTAGGCTAACATTAGCTGCTCCATCAACACTCAGAGTAACTTCATGAAGTCATAAGTACAGCAGTCACTATATTGTTAGCACCACAGACAGTCTCTGGTTTATTCAGGAACATGAATAACCCTGATTTAATATGAGCTGCTGTCGAGCTCTGTTCTCCTCTCTGATTCCCCTCAGTCCGTCAGAGACCACAGGAGCACAATCTCAACTCTGACAGGTTTTTGTAACAGAGTGTCACTAACTTTACACTCAAGTTGAAATGTTTCACGCTGCACGAATACGCAGGTGATATGAATTTAACATCTTCACTTCCTTCGTGTTGCCAGGCATGGATCTGGGTCTTTGTATTGACTCTACATGTGATTTCACAAAACTCTGTTTTATCTGCTAATGCTAAACACAACCAGCTCACCAGGTTATCACTATTATTAATAAACATCTTAAAAAGACATATCATAGACATGCCCAAATTGGTAATTAATGTTTTGGACAATATACAGTATATCGTTTTTAAATCAGAATTTATCAACATTTTTGCTATGTAAAACCATTGTATACACAGATACAATGATAATATTAAAACTGCGGTCACAGACGTGCACGCAGTTGTGGGCGGGCCTTCGCGTCTGTGCGCCTGTCGGGGAGGGTCACCGGCCGTCCCGGTGTCAAGCAGACGCGCGCGAGTCCTCCGAAATGAGCCGTATGTCATTTCTCTCATTTTCGCATCCTCGACTCCCAGGTCCCCCGGCAGCGACCCGGAAACGGATGTAGGCGCGCCGCCTCGAAGGAAAACAAATGTGTGTAAATGCTCGTCGAGGATCGTTTATCGCTGACGCTGTCTGGAGGAGCCGTAACCGAGGATACACTGATTTAGAGGAGAGAGGAGAGAGGAGTCTCTCTGGAGGAGCTATAACCGAGGGTACACTGATGTAGAGGAGAGAGGAGAGAGGGGAGAGAGAGGAGAGAGGAGACTCTTTGGAGGAGCTTTAACCGAGGGTACACTGATTTAGAGGAGAGAGGAGAGAGGAGTCTCTCTGGTGGAGCTATAACCGAGGGTACACTGATGTAGAGGAGAGAGTAGAGAGGGGAGAGAGGAGAGAGGAGGCTCTCTGGAGGAGCTTTAACCGAGGGTACACCAACACACTCTCACTCCCTAAACGTCCAGGAGCGACGCTTGGTCAGGGTCCCTTGGCGTGCAGTTGGGACGCGCCGAGGCTCCTTCAGCTTCATAAACGGACGCAAAGAGCTTTCAACTGATTGCAATGTATTCCCATCTGCTGCGGTATTTGACGCTCAGGGGAGCACCGCATCGGTCCATGTCGGCGGCATTTAAAGGCAATGTGAGCGTCCATTCCCATTGGATAACGGAGGATTTTACACCCGGAAGTAAGTATTCTCTTTACTGTCGATTGATTTTACAGTGATATCTGCACTACTCATCAACTCAAAAAACACCAGATTATCCTTGTTAATTACACAACATTGATTGGTTTAAATTGTGTGCAATGCTTTTGTGTTTTTCCCCTTCGATTCGGAGAAACAAATATTTTTTCGGAGTTTAGGATGGCAGAAGTCACTACACTACCCAGAATCCTCAGCTATCGTTTGGGACTACACCATGTGCTTTGTTTGACAATAGTCTTCTGGCCTGTGGGATGAAACTGTCCCTGAGTCTGGTGGTTTTAGTGGTAGTGGATGCTGCGGTACCGCCTGCCGGACGGCAGCAGACAGAACTGTTTGTAGCTGGGGTGATGGGGGTCTTTTATAATCCTGAGGGCTTTCTTTAAGGTTAACCTGGTATTTTTACTACATTTATTTTAGTTACTTTACAGATTTGGATTAATGATGTGAAATATAAACAACCCTTAAAGTGGACCTATCATGCTATATTTAAATGATATATTGTAGGGCCATACCTATATAAGGTATATTTATACGTTTCTGTTTTCAAAATACCAAACAGATCATGCATTTAGCCATGCCTCATTTCGCTCTATGTGCTGTTTGCTGTCTACGGGTCTGATTCTGCTGACCACGCCCCCCTGCAGGAGAGGGGAGCCGTGGCTCTGATCAGCTGCTGGGCTGTCAGAAGAGGGGGAGAAAAAGAGATCTCCATCCTCCGTGTTTTATTATATAGAGTCGTTATTCATTTGTTTTAAAGCTCAATAAATAACAAAGAAGACCTTTGACCGGCACTTTTCTAATTTTGTCCGGAAGATTTAAACTTTAACGGACATCTTGACCGGCGGGAAGAAACTGAAACTGAAACTCTGCCGCATTGTCCCCTCGTTCTTTGGAAGAGGCGGAGAGGTGGGTGTTTGTCATCTGCTGGTGGACTAACCGGAGAGAATTACAGTGCTTGCCTCGACGGGGAGGGATTGCATTGAATTAAAGCAGCGGGAGCAAACGCTTGCCTCGGGGAGGGAGAAAGAAAGCCACAGCGGAGAATAAACAGAAGGGTAACCATGGTAACTATGGGCGGGAAGTCTTCTTCGCTGCTTTTTGTGGCAGACTACAGCGCCACTTACAGGCCTGGCATATGTACTACAGCGTCTCCAGCGCTTTCGAGCGGCAATGGCCGGCCGTGGCCCAACCCCACATTCCCCTGATAGGTGGAGAGTTGGCCCAATAGCCGTAGCGCCACTTCTGTGACGACATAGAAGTGTTCAAATCTGGATCAGTCTGTATCAGATCCGTTGCAGTCCCGTTTTTAGAGATTGGGTATGGAGGAAAATAGAGAGGGTTGTGTTTACTGACACTTGGTGAGTTCCCTGGAACACCGGGGACACATATTCATGTATAAAAGACGTACAAAAGTGCATTTTGCATGATAGGTCCCCTTTAAATCAGACTTTAGTTACACCTGAGTAAAAGCTACTGAGCCGTTTTTGCTAAAACGTACGTTTTTTTTGTACAGTCGCAAAGAGTTCGTGAGCTGTGACGTGTGTTCCAAGTTTCGCGTCCGTAGCTCATTTTAGCACATCGCAATTAAAAAAAATGTTATAGGCCACGCCCACGTTCGTCATTCGTTGCGACACTTTGAATCTCAGTTCATACTCACCCCCGAAGTATGTCTATAAAAAAACCAATTCTTTCGTCCATCCGTTCTTGAGTTAGAAATTTGCGGTGTTTTTGGGGCCCCCTATAGTCCAAATGAAAATGCTTTGGTGTGCCTATTACCCAACACAGACTGAACCTATCCCCCAAAATCTGTGGTGAATGGATACATTGTTGATGAGTTAAGAGCATTTATTTCTAAGCCCCGCCTTTTTGCTCATACGTTTTGATTAATGGCGGCCATATTTATTAACTGAACATGCTCATTTCCTACTGTAATGTGTGTGACCCTCCACCGATGCTGTATACTAAGATTGGTGTTGATAAACAAGAAATTGAAATTTAGGATAATATTTCACTGTTTTTAACATTATGCTAATAAAAAAAAAATCAAAGTGGGCGGAGCTTAGGGGTTCAAGAGGACTTTATGTAGACCAGGTCCACCCGGATAAGTGTGCAAAATGTCAGGTCCATCGGACTTACGGTGCGAAAATGTAAATTTTTCGAAAATGTTTTACATATAGGTGGCGCTAGCGAGCATGTTGGCAATTTTGAACCCATCGACTCCAGAATGTCGAATTTTTCACTGGTCCTGCCGTCCGTGCAACATTTCGCTGCATGAATGGCGTCGTAAAGCCCTCAAATACAGGTTTTACAGCACACAGGAATAATAACATGAATTCTACGAATAACAATAGGTCTTCGCACACTTCGTGCTCAGGCCCTAATAATTGCATATTGAAATATATGTTATATGAAATAAATGTTATTGTGCTTCTGTCTTTCTGTGTCTTTCCATCTGTAAACTCCCTCAACGGGCCGCTCTCTCTCTTTTCTTGATCACCCTCTCACAGAGAACACTTCACTGTCCCGCTTCATTGTAGGATTTCAGCCATGTCTCTACTTTAGTTTGACCATCTCTCTTATTAAATTATGGAATACTAAATAAATAAGTAATTAGGTACCTTACCGTTACTGCGCTCATAAAGA